CAGCTCTTGGATTCCCCACTTTCTTACCTTGCTTCTTGCAGCAGGTCCTAAAATGACAGCTGGATCCTGTAACTTTGTCTCATGGTAGATCTGTGAAGTGAGAGTGGTAAGAGGAAATAGTCCGAGAGGTCAGATTCTTATTGTATAACAGGGGGAGGTTGGGCCTCAATGGGGACTTTGTACTTCCTAAGTCAGATGATTTTGCCCTGAAGGAAGGAAAAGTTCTAACTTGTCCATTGTCATCAGCTCCAACTACAACTGAACATAGTTAGAAAGTGGCTAAAGATGGAGGTAACAACACAGGCAGAAGTGTGGCTTGACAGACTGACCTATGAAATTCTCTCCAATCCCATGATTCTCATGTATATAATGTATATTTCATAAAATTTTATCTTAAAAGTCATAATTGTATTGTCACCATTTAAGATATTTCATACTCACATAAATACTAGCAATAAAGTCAAAAGAGAAAAAAGAGATAATAGATTGATTATAGAAGACTCCTCAAAAAGGCCTACATATTTGTAAGTAAAAAATAAAACTCTCAAAAAACAAAAAACTCTTTCTGTTCAAAGACCATTTGATTGTTTATGTAGAAAATCCCAAAGTATCTGCAAAAAACCTCCTAAAGCTAATAAATGAGTGAGTTTGCAGGGTATAGATCCTGCAACAGTTGATACAGATACAGTTGATAACATTTCTATATACTAAACAATTAAATATGAGATTATTAAAAATCACATTCATATTAGCACCAAAAATGCACTACTTAAGAATAAATCTACTAAAATATGTGTAGGATCTGTGTGCAGAAAACTATAAAAAGCTGATGGAAGGAATCAAAAGCCTATGTAAATGGTGAAATATAAGTTGATGATTAATTAGAATACTAATAGGGTTAGAACATCAGTTCTTCCCAGTCTGATCTACAGACTGAACAAAATCCATCAAGAGTTTTGTAGATATCAATAAGCTCATTCTAAAATACGTACATAGGGGCGCCTGGGTGGCTCAATGGGTTAAGCCACTGCCTTCGGCTCAGGTCATGATCTCAGGGTCCTGGGATCGAGTCCCGCGTTGGGCTCTCTGCTCAGCAGGGAGCCTGCTTCCCTCTCTCTCTCTCTCTCTCTGACTGCCTCTCTGCCTACTTGTGATCTCTTTCTGTCAAATAAATAAATAAAATCTTAAAAAAAATAAAACATGTACATAAAGTCAAGGTAAAATAGAAAAGCCAAACAAGTACTTTTAAAGAGTAGAAAGGATATGAACATTGGAAAAGTCACATTATCTAATTTCTAGACTTAATTCTAAAGCTCTGTAATTGAGAGTGGGTTATTACCAAAAAAAAAAAAAAAAAAAAAAGGAAAGAAAAGAAAAGGAAAAAAAAGAATTTATGTGAGGTGATGAATGTGTTAAATGACTTGATTGCAGTAATCCTCTCATAATATACACATATATTAAAATATCACATTGCACACCTTTTAAAAATCATGTTATACAAACGTTTTCTTTTATTTTTTAAAGATTGTATTTATTTATTTGACAGACATAGATCACAAGGAGACAGAGAGTCAGGCAGAGAGAGAGGAGGAAGCAGGCTCTCCGCTGAGCAGAGAGCCCAATGCGGGGCTCAATCCCAGGACCCTGAGACCATGACCTGAGCCTAAGACAGAGGCTTTAACCCACTGAGCCACCCAGGCGCCCCTGTATCACGTTTTTGTCAACTATCTATAAAGCTAAAAAACAAAAAGAGGGTTGTGGTGAAAAGATAGACCACTTGTTAAGTGAAACAACATAAAAAGGGCCAAAATAGATGTACACAAATGTAGTCAACTGATTTTGGACAAAGGGACAAAGGCAATCCAAAGAAGAAAGGATAGACTTTTTAACAAATGGTATCAGAAAACTAGAAAATTCTATGTACAGAAAAACTAATTTCTTTTCATTTTATTTTATTTTATTTTATTTTTTATGGGTTCCAAGATTCATTGTTTATTCATCACACCCAGTGCTCCATGCAGTACGTGCCCTCCGTAATACCCACCACCAGGTTTACCCATCCCCCCACCCTCTTCCCTTCCAAAGCCCTCAGTTTGTTTCTCAGAGTCCAGTCTCTCATGCTTCATCTCCCACTCCGACTTCCCCCAATTCACTTCAGAAAAACAAATTTTAACAGAACCTGTACCTTAAACAACAATTAACTCAAAATGGGCCATAGACCGAAATGTAAAGTGTAAAATTTTAAAATTTACAGAACTAAGCATTAGAGAAAATCTACATTGGTTTGGCAAAGAGTTTTAGATATAGAACCCATAGCAAAATCCATAAAATTAAAAAAAAATAATGGCACTTGATCACAATGAAAAACTTTTGTTTTATGAAGAATATAGTTAAAAGTCTAAAAGGACAAGCCACAGAAAGGGAGAAAAATATTTACAAATTACATGGATGAAACACTTAAAACTCTAGAATAAGAAAACATGGGCCTAGTTTTTATTTAAGGTAAATATTCAGAAAAGACACTTTAACAAATAAAATATACAGATGACAAAAATGTTTATAAAATGATGTTCAGCATCATTAATCATAAAGGAAATATACACCAAGACCACAAAGAAATTACTTACTGTACACCAATGAGTGTGGCTAATATAAAAAAAAAATGTGACAATACCAAATACTGAGGAGGATTCAGAGCAAATTAAACTCTTGTACATGCTGGTAGGAAAGCAAAATGATTAAGTTACTTTGGAAAACTTTATAAAGTTATTGTCATATGCCACCATATATGTATATTCGGCAATAGAATTTAAAGGTAACAAAGAATTTTAGAAATATGACAAATTTTAAAAAACAAATATTTCAAAATTAAAAATAAACAAATATTGAGTAGCAAAGCAAGCTGGAGAAAAATAGCATATATGTGATAAAACTTATGTTTAAAATAAAGCTCAGCTGAGTTAGATTATGAGACATATCAATTTTATTTCAGACTTGCTGACAATGTAACCATTAAGAAAAAAACACTTTCTCAAATAAATGTAAGAATGCATTTATACAGTTAAAAAAAGAGAAGTACTAAATAAGGCTGTAACCAAGTATATGATTGGTTAGTTTTATAAGTTTAGAGCCATCATATTCTAATGAGTTGCAGTCTATATACACCTGAGTCATAATGATGCATAGTCATCTCCAAGAAATGTCATGTGCAGGCCATCGAAAAAGAACTATTATTTTTTTCCCATACTACATTTAAAAAACAAATATGGCTGTCTTTTTTCCACTGTATATTTTTTCCTGTTTTGTCGAAGATTCGGAGAATTTTTAATGACTGACTTTGCAGACTAATCCCAGATTTCTAAGAGATTAGAAAAAAGATGAAGGAAATAGTGTTAATATTTTGCTGCAAAACTGGGGGAATGAGAAGTGGATTTAAGGTGGATTGTTTAATTCAAATAAATTCTCTGAATTTTACACAACGTCCACACTGTGCATGCAATTCTTTTGTAATCAGTGGAAGAATTTAAAAAGAGAGGAAAAAGGAAAAATATCCTCAAGATGTAAAGTCTGGTAATGACCAGACACTAAAAATTATATAGATATTGGGTCAGGATGGCAGATTGAGGTGCGTTTCCCTCCTCGTACCTCAAGTCCTTTTTAATAACAGGAAAGGCAGGTTTCTGAATATAAAGAATATGTCCAGAAGGACACGGGGTAAAGAAAGGGCAGATTCTTGGAAGATGGATAGCAGATGGGGCAAGGGCACTGAGGTGGGGGCTGTGGTGAGAAGACTGGGGACCCTGAACTGAAGAGGGGGTGCGCCAGAGAGGCGAGTGTTGTGGGCCCAAACGCTCCCTACTTTGGAAAGGGACGGAGCTGGTAGCCAAAAGAGCCTCCCAGGTGCAAGGCAGTGGTAGGTGTGAGTCCTGATGATGGGGTGGGGGAGGGCGGTGTTTGGCAGGAAGGGGAGGCCTCTCTCCTGGCGGGAAACTGCGCTAAGGGAAGAGGGAGGAGACTGCGGAGGCTGCCGAGGCTGGTGGCAGCCAGATGTGGCAGAGTGGCTGCCGCCAGCAGTGAGGCTAAGGGCCCATGAGCCCAGTGCTCGGGACACTCCATCAATCCGCTTCACCTTCCTCACTGCCCTCCAATACACGCTTCTCCTCTACGGATCCTACCCTCTCAGCTCGTGCAAACTCCCAACCCATCGCCTGCTGATCCTTTTTCCACCACAAGCTCACAGCAGAGGCAGCGCGACAAGGTGTCCCATTTGGGCAAGTGAGGCCCTCCATCCCCGGACGTGGGGAGGTGGGCACTGGACTAGAAAACTGGAGGATGGGGGTTGGTGGGTGCCCGACGGGAAAATTGGGGTCGCTGCCCACGACGGGTTATGAGGGACAATAAGAAAGGTAATTTGGGGACTGTGCTGTGTGTGTTGGGGGGAGCTGAAGAGTACTTGAATGATGTATAAAGGTAGTCAGGCATGAAAATACATTTTTTGTAGGCGCTCAGCAGAAATATGGAGATGACCAGGAAGAGACATGAAGGAGATATGAACACCAGGCATGTGGATGGGAGGCAAAAGGGATGAAGAATAGATGGCAATGGGAAAGGAACTAGGGGAGTGACAACATTAGTAGAAATGGAGTAATGAGGTGGGGGCTAAGAAATGGTAAATATTTGTGTTTGGTGTGGGAGCTCTAGGATGGCGACAGAGGATCAGGCATTATGCAGAGAACCTGCTCCATCTGTGGCCTCAAACCACTGCAACCATCACAACCACCTCCTCTCTAATCCTGCAGCACAACCAAAGAATCCTGGAGGGAGGGCACTGAAGGAAAATACACAGTAGTATCTTGATATCCAGTATTCCTGCTGGGCACATCTGAATAACTTGGGCATAATGCACCTGGTGCCCAGAGAATTTGCAATACAGAGGGGGGAGAGCTCACACTATAATATGCCAAATGTTTCTCCTTAGCCTCTTTCCACCTCCTGCAGGTATGAAGACCCTTCACAAAAAGGCAGCTACAGGGCAGCAAACAAGGGAAACTGTTGATCATCACGTTGGATCTGCAAATATGAGGAAGAAAAAGACCTGTCAAAAGAAACAGAGGGGCAGACCTTCATCCCAACCCCAAAGGAGCATAGTGGGCTGCAGAATTTCACATGGATGGAAAGAAGGCAATGATCCCATCACCCAGTGGAAAGGAACCATTCTGGATCAGGTGCCTATCAATCCCTCTCTTTACCTGGTCAAATATGATGGAATTGACTGTGTCTATGCACTGGAACTTCACAGAGATGAAAGGATTTTAAAACTTAAAATCCTTCCTGATAAGGTGCCATTTTTTCGAGTCAGAAATGTGCACCTTGCAAATATCATAATTGGTAAAGCTGTAGAACATATGTTTGAAGGTGAACATGGTTCTAAGGATGAATGGAGGGGAATGCTCTTAGCCTAAGCACCTATCATGAAAGCTGGTTTTATATTACCTATGAGAATGACCCTGTTTTATACATGTACCAGCTTCTAGATGATTACAGAGAAGGAGATCTCTGTATCATGCCAGAGACCAGTGAGTCTCCTCCAGCAGAGAGAGAGCCAGAAGGAGTTATAGATGTCCTCATAGGTAAACATATGGAATATACCAAAGAAGATGGCTCCAAAAGGACAGACAAGGTCATTCACCAAGTGAAAGCCAAGCCCTCTGTGTATTTCATCAAGTTTGATGATGATTTCCTATGTTTATGATTTGGTGAAAAAGTCCTAACTGGGTAAAATTTACCACATTTCTGGAGGCAAGTGTATGTTTTGGATACACACAAAAATGTTACATTTTCAGTGCATTTAAACTTAGGATCCCTTTTAACCCAAAATATTAACCAGCATAACTGTTATCTGTTCTGAAAAAGACAATTACATATGGACATGATGTACTGTGTGTAAGGAATTTGTCTTGTTGAAAAGATTGGGTGTGTTTGGTGAATAGGGCATGAAAGGAAGGAACAGCTGTACAAGCAGGTTATGGATAAACATAGGCTAGTATCATAATTAGTCATCTTAAAAAGGAATAGGAATTAGCTGGTCTGGTCTAGAAAGTGGGGAAAAGAAGGAATTAGAGATGGGCTGTGGGGGGAGGGAGAAAGGAAGGTGACTGCTTAGAAGGAGATGGGGCAGGACCAGAAATGGATAGGTTCCCTGGAAGAGGGATGACCTAAGGAGAGAGGCAACCCACTGGGACAGGGTGGAAAATTAGCAGAGGGAGAGTGAGATCTTGGGGCTTAGAGGAAAACAGTATTCCTTGAGAAAGAGGAAGAGAGAACACAGAAAAAGAGGTGTGGTGAGTGAGGCCCATGAGAGATAGGGAAGCCCAGGAAAAAGCTGGACTTCTGGCAGTATCCACATTGTTCTCTCTGACTCTGTGCAGAAAGGACGTGACAGCTGTCAAAGAACCAAATGGGTTGGAAGTTCCCTGGAATGGCATCTTGACAAGGATGACTCAAGAGTTAAACAGGAGCCAATTTTATACCTAAACAGCTTTTCTTACCTCAGGGAACTTATGTCACACCTGTCATGTAGAACCCCAAGCCTCAGCCTGAACACACTTACCTGACACCCCATGAGCAGGAGCCTGTGAGCAGCCTCCTCAGTTTTCCCAGAGGACCCAGGTGCAGTAAATCTTGGACCTGAAGTTCTTGGTTCATTCCCCCTACACTGGATAAACAGTTCTTGTGAGGAATGGATTTAGGGGTGGAGGGCACTCAGATCTTAAGAGATTTCCCACCTTGTATTTAGAAAGTATTTAAACCAGAAAAATAGAAACTTGCTGAACCCAGGTACAGCAGTCCTCTCACAATTTTTTCTTCTACTAGACTGTGTGTGCTTCCCTACAGTGTAGGGCCAATAGAGGATTGAGCCTAATGTTTCTCTCTAGGACATGATGAGTACTTGACAGTCCATATTTCTCTCTGCAGCTGCCTGAAACCACAGGTGGTTCCACTCAGTGATCCGCCAAGTGGAAGTCTGCTGCCCCCAAAAGCCCCATTCAGACTATCCTTCCCACACACACAAAGCAGGTGGCTGTTAACCCTTCACAGGTTAATCCTGGGCAGTCTTGCCCACCCCAAGCACACAGAGAAACTATGATGGAAGCTTACACAGTTCTGCTCCCATGTGAAATGAATGGCATGGAGCAGCTGGGCTGGGAGTTGTGACTTTGTATAACTCCTTCAACTGTATAATGCCACATAGAGAGGTGATGTTTGGTAGGGAGAGTGTGCAATAATCCCAACAAAGTCCCTCAGAAATACTGTGTCCTGACACATTGGGTCTGTGTCCTCTTTTTCTCCTCCTTGCCTTTCCCCAGTCCTGCTGTGGAAGTTTCCTTCAAAACACTCTCTGGTTTCCCCACCTCACACTTCACTAGAATATACCCCTGCCCTCCAAGAAAGACTTAAGGTTATCCCACCACCCAGGCTCCCCTAACTCCATGCATAGGAGGGGAATGGTGAGGCAGAGAGCTTCTAGAAGTCAAAAGGTGGTAGTTCTATTTCATTTTTTCCATCCAACATAACCTGAAACTGTTTATTTCAATAAATACAAAAAGCAAGACCACCTCAGCATAGTAGGCTTAGTTTTCTTTCATGCATCACACAATTCAGTTTAGCAAAATACCTGCTGGCCACCCATTGGCCAGTTTCACCCAGCTGCCATGTTTTGTTTGATCTTGATATTATTATTTGCTATTTTTATATTAGCTACTGAGACATGTGGGAGACTTCACATTACAAAAATTCATATTTCTGGCCCACTGGAAAACAAAACAAAACAATAAACTGAGGAATAGGGCGCATATTCCAACAAGGATACAAGCAGGTGGGTGTGAGGAGGGGCTCAACCCATTTTTAGACTCTGAATGCTCTCTTGGCTTAGCCATACCTCTAGTTGGCCTGCTTCACTCTGAAAAATCCCAGTTGTCCCCTGGAGGCATTTGCCTTTATAGTTTTGGAGCTAGATCCATGGGAAACTGCATATCCTAATTTTGCCTTACTTTCTCCCCATTTGTCTTTAAATTCATTTGTCCTCCAGTATTTATTTTGGTGGGCTCTCTGCCAGGCAGTCTTCTAGGCACAGGTACTGATGATATAGTAATGAACAAAAGAAAGAAAATAATCTTACCCTCATGAGACTTACATTTTAGTGTGGAGACAGATAGTAGCCAAGATACAATAAGTAAAATTGATAAAGTTATCAAAGAGATAAGTGTTAAGAAAAAAAAATAAATAAGGTAAGGACTGGAAAATAAGAATTTCAGGTTAAAAGCTGAAATTGTATAAATAGGGAGTCCGGAGAACATGACTTTGGAGTAAAGACGTGAAAGCAATTAGAGAATTGGCCCTGTGGCTATCTGGGGAAGGAGCATTACACAGAACAATAGCAAGTGCTGAGACCCCAGCCAGGAGTAAACTTGGCATGTTCAGGGAATACTGAGGATACCAGCATTGCTGAAACTGATTGAGCAAGGTAGAGAATATCAGGAAGTAAGTTCAGAGAAGTGATGTGGATCTGGGAGAAGCAGATAGCTTACAGACCTGAAGTTCCTAGAATGAAATTTGGCTTATACACCTTCAGGTCTTATTCAAATATGAGACATATTATGTCGTGCCTATGTTAAAAATACTCAATGGCTCCCTCTAACATCGGCACGACATAATATGTCTCATATTTGAATAAGATCACTCTGGCAACTCTGGAAAGTAACTTGTATGGAGTTTAAAGATGGAAAAGGGGGGTTCAAATATACCAACAAAACAGTGGAAAGCCCTAGAAATAAGTTTGCATACAGGAAAATTGAATCATAGTAGAAGTGACATTTCAGATGAATGATCAAAAGACATTGAATAAATGGCATTGCAACGTTTTTTTTTTGGGGGGGGTGTCATATACCAAAAAGTAAACCCTTTACCACATTTTATATAGATCATACATTCCAAGTGGGAAAAAAAAAGGTAATACTTCAATTTGGAAAGTAACACTTATGTTAAAAATATAAAATAGAAGTTGATGTTTATATTTTTTCTTATGAAAATGTGTAAGATTTCATTTCAAGGCAAAAAACACCACAGGTATTAAAGGAAAAATCTAATAAATTTGATTATTTTAAAATATGCAATGTTTTCATATTCCTATACTTTTTATTCATTTTTATATTACATATTTTAAAATACACAAAATTTCAAAAGCTATCATATATGAAGTGGAATAAAATGAGGTTAAGCTATATAAACTTAGATAGTTAAAATGAGTGAAGTAACAAAAATACATTCAATTATTTAAAAAATATTCTGTAAGAAACTTGGCAAAAAATATGAACAGGCCATTCACAAAGAGATCACATGATCAATAAACATATTTTACTTTAATTTGTTCCCCATTACCTTATTGTATCTTTTCTATAATATATGTTATCTTCTAACATACTATATAATTTACTTGGTTAATATGTATATTGTTTTTCTACCAGAATGTAATCCTTGAAAGTGTATGATTTTCCTTCCTTTGTACTTACCAATGTATTTCAAGTTCCTATAAGAATACCTGGAATATAGTAGGTGCTTAATACATTTCTGTTGACTCTATGAACCTCATCATCAAATATACAAGTGGAAATTGAAATAACAAGTTTTCACACACATTAGATCAATAGCTTATGTGAAGTTTGAAAATATGTATTAACCAGTTAAACAAGTAGCCTATTCCATATGTAGGTGAGTGTTTAATCAGTGAGAAATTTGCCATTATCTAGTGATTTTCAAGATGGCATATTTCCAGCAATTTCACTCTTATATATTGATGGAAGGCAATTTTGTATGTATTTCATATGTTTTTGGACATTTTGCAAGCAAGGCACTGACTATTCTCTTTTTAAAGCTATCTTTTGGAAGATGTTTGAATGGGAAACTGCTTTGGAAGATAAAGATAGGATCTCTTTCTGAAGTAAAGAGCAAGTTTGCTTGGAATGTTTGAAAGATAGAGAGTGATTCCCTCTGGAGCAAAGGTCAGGAATGCTTTTTCCAATAAAATATTGTGTCCTTCAAGAACAAACAGAAAGGATTCTTCCTGCTCATTATAAAAGTCTAAAGTTGCCACACTGAGGTTTCTTCATTGTAATGCAACCTACCTTATATGTACGTGTCATGTGACAAATTTGCATCACTCTATGGGAAGTGGGACTCAGTTTTCCAGGGTAAAAATGCTGATAGGCAATTGTTATTACTGCAAATAATGAAATACCCTTTGTCTCTGACTCAGAAGTCTCATGTTTTCTTCTGGCACCCAATAAACAGTGGCAGACTACATCATTAGCTCACAAATAATTTTATAATCTTCGCAGTTCTTGATATGTGTAGCAATGAGAAAAGGATGCTGATAGAAGCATGGCTTTCTGTAAGAGGAAGAATGGAGATCTCACCAGATAATTAATGGAATTTAAAGGTAACTTATTTGAATTGGTGGTAAATTACAGACAAGCTATGACTAAATACTCTTCCCTCTTTAGGTGGGGAGGAATAGGGCAAGTGGTTTCAAGATGACAGCTGGTAGCTCCCTGTCTCAATGAGGATCAAAGTTTATATCAAACTCAGGATCAAAGTTTATATGCACCCATCTAAATATGCTGGAAAACTTTGGCAAAGAGACAAAATCAAACTTCTATGGCTCTGTTAGATAGGGATGCTCAAAACATGATTCTA